AAAAAAAAAAAAAAAAAAAAAAAAAAAAAAAAAAAAACTTATTTTCATGCTCACTTCTTTTTTTTTTTTTTTTTTTTTTTTTCCCTTTTTGTCTTTTTCGTGTCCGGCAACGGATCGCAACCCTCAGTGTTGCGCCCGTACTTGACCGGGACCGGCAACGGGATCGCAACCCTCGGTGTTGCCCCCGCGCCTCGCTCTGCCAGTGAGCGGGAACCGGTCCGTATGTGGGATCCGAACCCTCGGCGGGAGCGCAGCCGCGCTTCCCAAGCGGTGCACTAGCGCAGTGCGCCACCGGGCCGGCCCGAAAATAAGTTTTTATTTTCAGTTATTACCCACCAGTAAGAGAAAGTTATGTTCACAGTTTTACCTCTTAACACAAAGTGAACTAGGAGGCAGATTTACATCCATCTGATACAACTAATGGACCAACTTTTTTTTTTTTTTTCCCTTTTTGTCTTTTTCGTGTCCGGCAACGGATCGCAACCCTCAGTGTTGCGCCCGTACTGGACCGGGACCGGCAACGGGATCGCAACCCTCGGTGTCGCGCCCGCACCTCGCTCAGCCAGTGAGCGGCTGGTCTGTATGTGGGATCCGAACCCTCAGCGGGAGCGCCGCCGTGCTCCCAAGCGGCTCACTGTAGCAGTGCGCCACTGGGCCGGCCCCTGGACCAACTTTTTAAGTTCAGGCTATCTTGAAAGCTTACAGCAAACATACCAGATATTGCTGTATTTTCTTTAGAGACAGCAGTGGCTGACAGTGAGTAGAACTTGTGAAGTGTTTTTAATAGCAGGTGTTTTGTATAAAATGTTGCTGGGAACCAAGAGGTTTATAAACATTTTACACATCCAGGAATGAGATACTTAAAAGTCTAAACATGCTGATTTAGGAGTGCATATGTTGCAGTCTCAAGGTGGGTCAGTAGTCCATTTGGACTAAATTATTACTTGCCTCTGGGTAGCAGGTATGTTTGTAAATATAAAATTATATTAGACATTAGCACCAGTGCAGAACATGCTCAGCATCATAAGATCCAAAACACAAATGTAAGTTTATCCATCATTAAAAAACAATTACCTAGTTCATGGAGGGTTTTGAATGCCCAACTATAGTATTTGAATTTTATTCTGAATGCAGAGGAGAACTACTAAAGATTTTTGAGTTATTTGCTACTTATGGAACATGACTGATGTTAATGCTGCTTTTTAAGTTTGAAATATCTACCATATAACTCTTATTTCCCATTTTGTAAATAGAAATCCAGTAACAATGTTAGAATAAGCACGATTAATAATCCTAGTGAAGAGATAAGTTATGAGAACACTCAGATCTCCAGAGCAATCTGGGCAGCTCTCCAAACGCAAACCTCCAACTCTGCTAAGAACTTCATCACCAAAATGGCCAAGGAGGAGACCGCACAGGCCCTGGCTGCAGGAGCTGACATCGGGGAGTTCTCCGTTGGGGTAAGCCTCCACATGTTTTATGAGGCTGCCTTGTTCTGTCATTTCCATAGAAGTTCACTCCCTTGGGCTGATGTGTCCTGTTCATGATCAGGATTTGTGACTCTCTGGTTTTGGGGTTTTTTTTGTTTTTTTTGTTTTTTTTAATTTGGAAGAATTTTAAACTTGCATAGGCTTAAAGATGTGCCTGATATATGTTTATGTTTTTAGTACAAAGCCATTTGTTTTGTATAGTTTTTTAAGGGCAGACAATATTTGATTTATTTATAGAGCAAAAAACTAAGATTTGAGCCACTTACAAGTTAGAGGCTTATGGGTTCTTGATGTGTTTCCAATATAAGTCCAGGCTTATTCATTTATATAATATGTTACTTACTTTTTGGCAGTGTTTTGTAAGTTTTAAAATGATGAATATACTTGAAGTTTCAGTTAGAGAAAAAGGCTTTCACTTGAAATTAGCAAGATTTAAAAATGCAGAATAAAGACAGCAGGAAGAACAGTCTGCCAATTGAACAAATCACATGAAAGAATAGGAAAAAAAAAGCAGATACTTAATAAGTGGTGGGAGAAGATGGGAGGAGAATAGAGAATTGAGACGTCATAATGTTAGTTATAAAAATTAATACTTTCCACTAAAAGAACATTTTATGGTTTATTCATTATGATTATTCATTTATATGATTTGCTTAATAACAATATTTTTCCTTAATAACGGTTACTTTCCTAGGGCATGGATTTCAGTCTTTTTAAAGAGGTCTTTGAGTCTTCCAAAATGGATTTCATTTTGTCTCATGCCGTGTACTGCAGGGATGTTCTGAAGCTGAAGAAGGGACAGAGGGCAGTGATCAGCAATGGAAGGGTGAGGATTTGTCAAGCTGAGAGAAGCTTGACTTCAAATTAGACCCGTGAACAGTCTTTGCAGCATTCCCCTCTGAAACTAGTAAACTCTTCAAACAGAACCACTCTTTTCTCAAAGGTGATTAGGGCGCATGAAGTGTCGATGACATTTCTGCCCCCTTATTCCAAGGAAGTATGCTTTTTGACATGAGTGTCCCTGTGTGGAGCCTTCCTGCTGTTTATTTGTATCCTGCCATTGTGAGAGGTTGTGAGAGTATAGTGGCTCTCAGAAAATAAATCATATGGCCTTTGACACAGAAAGTAGCCTTTGTTATTTATATTCAGTGAGAATGAAAACTACATTGCTGTTTTATTGTAATTCCATGTTTGCTTCTCTAAAATACTGTGAAGTGTACAAGTCTACACTCTATGTACCTGAGGAATTGATAAGTAAACAAGTAACTATGAGTTGATTCAAGCTTTACTTTTTGATTTTTTCATTAACTGTATGTGGACATGTCCCTGTACAGGTCTTTAAGGTGGTTTGGTGTCTAAGATACACTGAGGACAATAAAGGGCTCCTTAACGCTTGCCAGTTGCAGACTGCTCACCAGCCCTGACTGCCTGCTCTTCTTTTCTTCACAGATCATTGGGCCACTGGAGGATAGTGAGCTCTTTAATCAAGATGATTTCCACCTCCTAGAAAATATCGTCTTAAAAACTTCAGGGCAGAAAATCAAATCTCATATTCAACAGCTTCGGGTAGAAGAAGATGTGTAAGTTTTGCCATAGAAGAAATTAATTAGTTTATGCCATACAGGTTATATTATTTGGACTTTCCTCATTGGTCAAAGTTAGCATTATATCTTGTCACATATGCTACCTAATCCAAGGTATATTGGTTATTGTTGGTTTTTTAATTTAATTCTTTCAGTGTTGTTATTAGCTACTGTATTTTCCATATGTTATTTCTCTTAATGGAATAAAATAAATTACTTGCATGGACCAGTTACCTCCTGTGTAACTGGAGCACATAGTCATATGTTCCTAGTTTCTGCATTAAATATCAAATGAATGTGTAGATGGAGAATATATTCCTATGTTTATTTTTTTGAGGAACCACTATGTCTTATCTGTGTTCAGTATTAGGACTGTTGGTATATAATAACTGGAAAACCTTCAGTTACAGAGGTGCTAAAATTTCACTAACCACATCTTTCAGGGCAAGTGACTTGGTAATGAAGGTGGATGCTCTCCTGTCTGCTCAACCAAAAGGAGATACAAGAATTGAGTACCAGTTTTTTGAAGATAGACACAGGTATACAATTAATGTTGGATTTGTGCATATTCTTTTTCTTTTTCTTTTTTTTTTTTTTTGGCGGCTGGCCAGTGTGGGGATCTGAACCCTTGACCTTGGTGTTATCAGCACCACACTCTAATCAGGTGAGCTAACCAGCCAGCCCTGTGCATATTCCTGGACATTAAACTCTTAAGTTTGCCTTTTCTCAGCTCATTTATTTTTCCATATAAGGTTTTTGTACAAGTCCCTAGGGGAATGGAAAATTTGTTCGATGTGCAGTTTTCATGTATGTAGTGTATTCATATAAAAAATACATATACAGATCTCAGTTTAATGATAATTGGCATTTATTTTTAAATAAATCTGAAATAATTCTGAGTGCATCCTTTTAGTAGAAAACAGAACATTTAATGAATAGACTAATTGTAAAAGTGTTTCATTTTCAATAAAACAAAAATATCTTTAGTATTATTTTGTTCTTCAGTTTATTATTTTTGATGTTTCAAACCTAGAAATAGTTGAAAGACTATTACAAGGAACACCCAAACATCTCTAACCCAGATTTACCAATTGTTAGCACAGCACATTTGCTTTTTTTTCTGTCATCTCTGTGTGTGTATTTTTTGTTTAGTGTTATTTTTTCTTTGTGTTTATTTATATGTACACACACACACATTTTTTTCTGCACCATTTGAAAGTATGTTGCAGACATCATGGCACTCACATTTTTTTCTGCACCATTTGAAAGTATGTTGCAGACATCATGACATAACATGCCTAAAGTCTTTGGCATACATCTCCTGAGTACTAGGACTTTCTGTACAGTACTGTTAGTATACCTCAGAAATTTAACCTTGATATAATAATATTAATACACAGTCCCAATTCATATTTCTCCAGTGTCCAGTATGACCTTTTATAACTATTTTTTGTGTTTGTTCTGTTCACATGTTGTGGTTTGTTGTGTCTCTTTGGTCCTCTAGAAGAGTTCCATTTATTTATTTATTAATCTTTTATGATACTGACATTTTTTATTTATTTTTATTTTTATTTTTATTTTTTTTCCTTTTTGTCTTTTTTCGTGTCCGGCAACGGATCGCAACCCTCAGTGTCGCGCCCGTACTGGACCAGGACCGGCAACGGGATCGCAACCCTCGGTGTCGCGCCCGCACCTTGCTCAGCCAGTGAGCGGGAACCAGTCTGTATGTGGGATCCGAACCCTCGGCGGGAGCGCCGCCGCGCTTCCAAGCAGCGCACTGTAGCAGTGCGCCACTGGGCCGGCCCGATACTGACATTTTTTAAAAGTTCAGGCCAGTTGTTTTAGGGAAGGAATGTTTCACAGCCTGGGTTTTTTCCTCATGGTTAGACTTAGATTAAATTGTTCTTAGGGCAAACCTTATATAGTTAATGTATCTAGCCCTTGCCTTGCCTAGCAAGTGTATACCTTGCTCGTGCCTTAGAATTACAGGGAAGCTTTAAATTCAGATGCCTGTGTCCTACTACTCTGTGATTCTGACCTGATTAGTCCGGGGTGGATTGGACTTCGGTTTAGTGGACCTGCGCTTTCTCACAGCCAGTCTTTGGTGCAGATCAGATTTGCATGGTCAGACTGTCTGATGGTTGTTGGTTGGAATGGAGACCTCCTCTGTTGCACTTGCTGTGTCTCCTAATTTCTTATGTCACCAGTGGCTGGAGACTTCTGTGGATGCTGGCTGACCCTTGTTGGATTTTGCCATCAGCACCCAGGTTGCACCCATCGTCTCAATACTCTCAGTTCTTTCAGGAAGTAATTCGTTAGTTACTAGTGAAGGAAACATTTTCTAGTTGATCTGCCATGTCATTTCCTTACAGCTAGCATAGTAAGTCCTGAGCAAAGACCTCTTCCCTTTTTAGAACGTCATTTTCTCCACGAGTCTCCATGAGTTTTACATTAATTGCAAATAAATACAAATTTATGTTTTATATTTTCCCTAATTACAAATTTCACTATGGTACAAATTATAGAGAAATTGTTCTCATCGGAGTTGTGTTAATTAAATGAATGTTTGTTATATTAAAATTAGAAGTTTTGGGCCAGCCCGGTGGCGCACTCTGTAGAGTGTGGCGCTTGGGAGTGTGGCGGCGCTCCCGCTGAGGGTTCGGATCCCATATAGAGACCGGTCCGCTCACTGGTTGAGCGCGGTGCGGGCGCGACACCAAGGGTTGCGATCCCGTTGCCGGTCGCGGTACGGGCGCGACACCGAGGGTTGCGATCCCGTTACCGGTCACGAAAAAAGACAAAAAGGAAAAAAATAAAAATAAAAAAATAAAATAAAATTAGAAGTTTCTCATTTATGCTAGAAATTAAAAGGTCTGAACTCTCAGTTATATACACCCTTGCACTTAGGTGTGGTCCATGGATCAGCAGCAGGGCATCATCTGGCAGCTTGTTGGAAATGTAGTCTTTGGCCCCACACTGCAACTATTGGATCAGCAGCTGAATTTTAACAGTCCCCAGGTGATTCCTGTGTACATTGACATTGGTGAAGCACCATATTCTTTGATATTTGAGCTGCTCACCCTAAGCAAATATGTATGATCTCCAAATCTTGTTCCTGTCTCTGTCTCTTTTGGCTTTATTCTGATCTTTTATCTGACCAATACAGCAAGTATATTTAAACATGATATTGTTAGTTTACATTGCTCCCATTTTCTACACCAGTATTCCTCTTTTCTTGGTTTTTGTCTTGCCCCCAGTTTTTTTTTTTTTATAGAGATGTGAGGGCAATTGAAGGACCTCACAGGGTCAATTTCTGGGTATGCCTGTTGTGGATCACCAAGAACACCATGCTGGCTCAGAACATGCACATTGTTGTACGAAACTCTGCCCCAAAACTAGCTGGGGCAGGCCTGATCAGATGCTACACGCTGGTAGAGTCCTGTTTGAGACTTCTCTTCTTGTTCTCTTTGTGAGAGTTTATATAATTCTCTTCTATCATGAGCTTTTCCTTCTAGAATTCTAGAGTAGCACAGTGGTACAAACTATATTAGGGCAGTGGCTCTCCAGTTTTGGCTTTTACTTAGAGAGCTTGTTGAAATGCATATTGCTGGACCTGCCCCCAGAGTTTTTGATTGGGTAAGTCTCGGTTGGGGCCTGACAGTTTGCTTTTTTAACAAGTGCCCAGGTGAAGCTGATGTTGCTCTTCTGGAGCCGCACCTTGAGAACAGCTGCATTAGAGTCAAAAAGTTTTGTTGCATTGGAGTAATCATTGACAGCTGGTTGGATCTGAAATTGCTATTATCAGAGATTGAAAGCATTGCTGTAACACAGTCACAAAGCTATTCCCTATGCCAGTGGTTATTTCTAAAGCAGTTAAGATTTGAAATAACCTTCATTGGCATCTAAACTATAGTTACTCAGTTTTATTAGTTAAGTTCTGTTTTGTGTTGTACTTTTGTTTTCATCCCACTGGATAAATGTTCTTGCATAGAAGAGTAGTGGTTAGTTAGCATCAGAACCACATTAAAAGATTGTTCAAGGGCTGGCCCGGTGGCGCACTGGATAGTGCGCCGCTTGGGAAGTGCGGTGGCGCTCCCGCCCGAGGGTTCGGATCCCACATACAGACTGGTTCCCGCTCACTGGCTGAGCGAGGCGCGGGAGCAACACCGAGGGTTGCGATCCCGTTGCCGGTCCCCGGTCCGGTACGGGGGCAACACTGAGGGTTGCGATCCGTTGCCGGACACGGAAAAAGACAAAAGACAAAAAAAAAAAAAAAAGATTGTTCAAGGCGAACAAAGCATTGATTTAAGAAATTAATGATTTTGGAAAATTGGGTGATGTTTTAAACACTTTCAAGTTGATTCCTTTTTAAAGCACATCAGAGGTACAAATTGAAGCATAGCAGCTGTCACTGTTTGCTTATTAAGAACAGACAAAATATATAACTTAATGCTGACAAGATGTGGTGAAATTCATTTCTTGGCCTTGTAAATTGGTTTAGTTCTTTAGGAAATGTGGTTGACAATACCTATTAACCTATTAATAAATACAGAAATATTTGTATTCTTTGACTGCATAATCTTGTGTCTAACAGTTCTTTGACTCTAAAGAAATTTCCAAATATGGAGAAAGCTGGGCGTACAAATTGTTTACAGGTTGAAAGCCATCTAAAATGTTCAGCAATAAAGAATAGCTTAAGTAGCAGATTTACTTGGCAAATAAAATGTTATTTCTTAGAATGCTTGATGTGTAAGAACTTGTGGAAATCTTTATGCTAAAGTGGTGGGGGACAGAAGAAAATTGTTTTAAAATTGCTAACATTCTACAGTTCTAGCTAATTTTATATAGACATTTAAAAAGGATGATATAGAAACACAGCAAAGTGATTGGGCCGGGATAGTTGGGATAGTGAGATTATGTGATTATATTTTTCCTTTTTCTCTGTTTTGCAGGTTTTCTGGAATGTTCTTCTGTCCATTTTATTATTTTTAAAAGATTGATTTATTTCTTCTCATACTCTTCTTGCCAAGAAATAAAAAATTGGCATAATGGGGCTGGTCCGGTGGCGCACTGCTACAGTGTGCCGCTTGGGAGCGCGGTGGTGCTCCCACCGAGGGTTCGGATCCCACATACAGACCAGCCGCTCACTGGCTGAGCAAGGTGCGGGCACAACACCGAGGGTTGCGATCCCGTTGCCGGTCCCGGTCCGGTACGGGCGCGACACTGAGGGTTGCGATCCGTTGCCGGTCACGATAAAAAGACAAAAAGGAAAAAAAAAATTGGCATAATGTTTAGTAACTGTCAGAAGCTAACCTTAGTAGCTTTTAGCAGTTTGGGGCTAAATATAATTTCAAGCTGGTTTTCCTCTATTCACGCAAATCTTTCAATTCATTTTGAGTGAGCCTGCATTATTAAGGTTTTGCAGACTTTGGGGTAGACATAATCACATAGTTCGTCACCATTGTAGTTTAGTTGTTCTAGATCTAAAGTTTTTTGAAATATTAAGAGGGCTGATAGGTTATGTTGGACCCCCAAAAACCACAATTAACTTTGTTTCTTGTTTCTTCCATGTTAATGCTTTATCCTTTTGATCTTGTAGTGCAATTAAACTGAGGCCAAAGGAAGGGGAGACGTACTTTGATGTCGTTGCTGTTGTTGACCCTGTCACCAGAGAGGCACAGAGACTTGCCCCGTTGCTCTTGGTAGGAACAACTGGGCAGGTTCACATCATCTTTATCTTTAGTCACTGGCCCTGTGAATCTCTGAGAGCTTTGTTTTCCCTTAGTCATCTTCATGGGGCATAGGAAAATGCCATGGGGAGTCCTGGGCAGAGGACTCTTCCTAAAGATTGATAATGCCTGAAACAACTTTATAGCCTTAGAAAGTTGGTACACGTTTGCTTAACTACCTCGTGTAATTAAAAAAATGATTAATATTTAGTTATACTTTTTAAGGTAATATTTTTATTGAAGTGTAATCACCTAACCTTTTTTGTGGCTATTTGTATCTATGTTTTTTTATACTTTGGTATGTGAGCTACAGTGATGAGCATTTACATTTTCCCTGTGTGGATGGATGTCCATCTATCTGTTGCTTCCCCACAACTGTATGTTAAACTTTCTTTATATGAAGAGCAGCGATCTGCATTAGCACTTCCCTTTTTTTGGCAAAGTCATATGTATGTGTGATTTAGATTTTGCACGAGAGTTGTGATTTCCAGAAATTTCTCTAGTGCAGACTTTATTGGCAGTTATTATCTTTATATCTTTTCTTAAGATTTTAAGAAATGGTCTCTCTCTTAACTCAGTGTCAAGTAATACATTTCTGAAGAGAAAATTTAAATATTTTGTCATCTGGTTTGCTCTTTTAGGTTTTGACTCAGCTAATAAACATGAATCTAAGAGTATTTATGAACTGTCAATCTAAACTTTCCGACATGCCTTTAAAAAGGTAAGACATGCTATTTCAGAATCAATTGAGAAAACGGTACCAAATCTGCAAGCTGATATTGAATGTTAAAGGATCAAATAGGATGGGGCCGGCCTGTGGCTCACTCAGGAGAGAGTGGTGCTGATAACACCAAGGCCACGGGTTCGGATCCCATATAGGAATTGCCGGTTAGCTCACTGGGTGAGCATGGTGCTGACAACACCAAGTCAAGGGTTAAGATCCCCTTACCAGTCATCTTTAAAAAAAAAAAAAGGATCAAATAGGTTTATAAGTGGACACCATGTTTGAAAAGGTTGCGGCTGGCTGTATAGGGACCTGAACCCTTGACCTCAGTGTTACAACACTGTACTTTAACCAGTGGAAAAGTCATTTACTAAATGTTCAGTTGTTCCCAATTTTTGCACTAATCAGAAGTTCTAAGAACGTAGTATGGGCATGGGGGCATTTAGGCGGCATTTGTCCAGGTGACTTGCACTTGTGCTTTTCATCTTAAAAGGAGAGCAGTCATTTCATTTCAAGTTGGAATATACATGTTAGAGGAAGCTTGCTTAGGCTCATTTGTATGTATCTTGAAAAAGGGGACAGGCTTAGTTATTTACTGTCATGAGCTTTGGAATGGTCATTTAATGAAAAAGTAATATAAAATGCAGTTAATAATAATAGTATAGCACATGTTATGGCTATGGGAAATTCTTATCTTGCAAATGTGCTATGTTCTATAGGTTGGATTCCAACTGTATTGAAATAGCGTTTACAAATGACCAAAGGGTTCCCAGCTTCCACTGTTGTCCTTGTATTGGAGAAATGTTTAAATTATTACATATATTGTTTTTAGGGCTACCCTGAGAATTCAGTCACCATTTAGGATTTGGTTTTTAAGAGAAAAATGAATTCTCCTTGAAGGAAGGAAAGTGGTCAGGAAATGCTTGCGACTTCGACAGCAGCCACCTATATGAAGGAATGGCCTCCCCCTCAGTCCTGTCCCCCTTTCCCTTCTCTTACATCTGTGGCAACCACTGGAGACATCATTAGGTCAAAAGATAGTTTTGGAAATACTTTTCCCAGTCTGGAAAGATCCCGCTCCAAATCTAGTTTGTTTTAAGCCAGTTGTTTCCCATATGGATGCTTAAGCTCAAGGACTGTGGTTGCAAAGAAGAAAGTTTAACACTTCTCTTTTCAATTTCAGCTTTTACCGTTATGTCTTAGAACCAGAGATTTCTTTCACTTCAGACAATAGCTTTGCTAAGGGTCCAATAGCCAAATTTTTGGATATGCCACAGTCTCCACTGTTCACTCTGAATTTGAACACACCTGAGAGTTGGATGGTAGAATCTGTCAGAACGCCATATGATCTTGACAATATTTATTTAGAAGAGGTAAGAATATCATTGCTTCTAAATATCTAATCATTTATGAAACCTATTTATGATGTACTGGTGGTAGACTCTGACTGAACAGATTGGATCACAGTCTAGGTGGGCCTCTAAGCCATCGGTTTCCAGTTATAATATATTCTTTTTTTTTTTTTTCCTTTTTGTCTTTTTTCGTGACCGGCAACGGATCGCAACCCTCGGTGTTGCGCTCGCACCTCACTCAGCCAGTGAGCAGCTGGTCTGTATGTGGGATCCAAACCCTCGGCGGGAGTGCCTCCGCGCTCCCAAGCGGCGTACTGTAGCAGTGCGCCACCGGGCCGGCCCATAATGTATTCTTTTAAATAACAGATTTATTCAGATGTTGCTTATATACCATAAAATTAATCCTTTTAAAGTGTACAACAGTTCAGAGTTTTAGTATATTCACAGAGTTGTGCAGCCATCACTGCTGTCTAATTGTAGAATGTTTTCATCTCCCCCAGAAAAGCTCCATACCCATTAGCAGTCACTCCCCATTCTCCCCAGTCCTTGGCAATACTAATCTCCTTTCTATCTCTATGGATTACCTATTCTGACATTTTGTCAGAATAGAATCATGCAATATGTGGTCTTTTGTGACTGGCTTCTTTCATTTGACAAATTGTTTTAAAGATTCATCTATGTTGCAACATGTGTCAGTACTTTATTCTCTTTTATTGCCAGATTATATTTCATTGTGTGGATATACCACATTTTATTTATCCATTCATGAGTGGACATTTGGAATGTTTCTGGTTTTTAGCTATAATAATGCTGCTATGAGCACTGCGTACAAGTTTTCGTATTGATCCATGAATGTGGGATGTCTTTCCATGAATGTGGGATGTCTTTCCATTTATTTAGGTCTTAATTTCTTTAACACAACAATGTGTAGAGTCTTATCCTTTCGTCTATATTTTTAGAATGACCTTTTTATTGTTTTTTTCTCCTTTCTCCTTCCAATGAAGTTTTTATTTTGTATACAGTCATTCACTACTGCCACAGTCAAGATACAGAACATTTCTGTCACCCCAAAAGTTCTTCTGTACCCCTTTCCCTGTCCCTGGCCTCAAGCAACAACTGCTTTGCTGTCTGTCACTATAGTTTTGCCCTTTGGGGGAGGGGAGGGCTGCCGGCCGATCTGGGGATCCTAACCCTTGACCTTGGCTGAGCTAACAACCATCAGCCCTTTTTTACCTTTTCTTGAATTTTTAAAAATATGGGCCGGCCCGGTGGCGCACCGCTACAGTGCACCACTTGGGAAGTGCGGCAGCGCTCCCGCCGAGGGTTCGGATCCCACATACAGACCGGTTCCCGCTCACTGGCTGAGCGAGGTGCGGGGGCAGCGCCGAGGGTTGCGATCCCGTTGCCAGTCCCGGTCCGGTACGGGCACGACACTGAGGGTTGCGATCCGTTGCCGGTCACGAAAAAAGACAAAAAGGAAAAAAAAAAATTAAAAAAAAAAAAATATATGATCATACAGTATATAAGTCCCTTTTATCTGCTTCCTTCACTTTTCAAACTGCATTTCAAATTTATCCATGTTGTTGCTGAATAGTCTTCAAGTGATTTAATTTTGATATTGTTAAAAAAAAAAAAATATATGATCATACAGTATATAAGTCCCTTTTATCTGCTTCCTTCACTTTTCAAAATGCATTTCAAATTTATCCATGTTGTTGCTGAATAGTCTTCAAGTGATTTAATTTTGATATTGCAGGTGGACAGCATAGTGGCTGCTGAGTATGAGCTGGAGTACCTGTTACTAGAAGGTCATTGCTATGACATCACCACTGGCCAACCCCCACGAGGACTGCAGTTTACATTGGGAACTTCAGCCAACCCAGTCATCGTGGATACCATTGTTATGGCCAATCTGGTAAATAGTACATCAGATGGTAATACTGTAGTCATGCTAATTTGAGCACTACAATTTATGATGGAGGAATTAGCATTCTCATCCATAGAGTGAGTTTAAAATTCATAATTATCTGAATTTGATCAATAGAAAAGTCATTAGTGCAGTTAAATTTGTAGACTAGAAAGACATGTCAGTTTAAAAGAAAAAAACATGCTGGAATACTGTGCTGTAGCTGAATTGACCCTTTAAAAAAGATTGCTCATGAGCTGGTTGCCTTTGCCCTTTCTTTGGGGGTTTGCAGGTGATTTACACATCACACTTTGATTCTTCACTGAAGCACAGCTGAAGAACAGACTTGGCCTGACTGGCCTGTATTCTGCTAGTTTCTAATGTGTCATTGTCTTTTGTTTTTTTAAAAGTTGCACTGATTTGTTAACTATCTTATTTAAATTACAGATGATGATATTTCAGAAAAAGAAGTGACTGATCTCAGAAGCAGCATTTTGATGTTTTGAAGATAACTAAAAGTTGGCTTTTCTTCTTGTCCTAGGGCTACTTTCAGCTAAAAGCCAACCCAGGAGCTTGGATTCTCAGACTTAGGAAGGGACGTTCTGAAGATATTTATAGAATCTACAGGTAGGATTAAGTAATACAGGTGAATTTTTCCAGAAGACTTTGAAATGAGAATCAGCTCTAATTGAATACTACCCTGGCAATTGTCCACACTACATTTAATTTACAGTAGTATGTATGATAAAACAATGCTTTTTCAGGAAATTAAATATGGAGGGATTGTTAAGGTAGAATTAGATAATAACAGGTGTAAATACTAATGAGTATACTTAGGTTTTATTCTTAATGATTCCTTTGTGCTAACCATATTCCAGCATGAAATCACTCTATCACTGTGATGTAGACCCTATGCAAATTCGAAATTTAGTCATTTGAAGAAAAGAGAAAAGAAATAAAGGAACAGTCAAACTTTTCTCCTCTGAGAGTATATATTTTGACCCTGAGTGTTTTGCAAATACACAGTACATATAAGCTTTGGCCATGGAGTCCTGCAGTTAACAGTGGTCTTCCTTGGTCTGTGGTGGTATAAAAGTACTCCTAGAACATTCCATAAGTAGTCAGCTTTTTGCCTTAAGGTTTATTACATGTATTTATTAGTTTAAAAGAATTATACTGCCTTTTAACAAGTTTGGTCTAAATTCTGCTTAACACAATTTAAATTAGTTTTAAGCTGTGTGAGAAGACTCCACGTCTATTTAGGGAATGATTTCCATTAGAATTTATCTGAAAACATTCTTTTTTGTTTCCTTGCCTTAGCTTCATAGTATCTTACCTGATATATGTGAAAGCAGTGTGGATTACTGCATATTTCTTACCCAGGAAATAGAGGAATTTTGTATTACACTAACATTGTAAATAGTAGAAGGTTTTTCTCCAAATAACATTTTCTCCAGATATGGTTTCATAGAGTTTTAGTTGTACTTCCAAACTCCGTCCCTTCTGTGTACCCTTGCCAGTCTCCCCCTTCCCTAGGAGTGTGGGGTCCCTTCTCTTCTTAGCTGTCTAGGGCTTCTGTCTTCCTGTGCTTCCCAGGTAGGTATTCCCAGTCTCAGGAGTTTTTCATACTTTCAGTTTCTCCCATCAGAATCTTACTTTTGCCTGAGAACCCTGCTCTCTGCTGGATGATGGGAAATGCAGTGAATTCATATTATCATGACTTTCTGCACCTTGAGATTTGATGACTGGAAGTTTTAGGCTTTATAATTGGTTAGTAGAGAAACATTATTTTTAATTTTTCTTCCTCTGCCCACGAATAGGCTTGTTATAGTTCTTTTATAAAACACTTCTAATTAGAGAGTGAAGTGATGAGGTTCCTGGGAGGGTGCAGGCCCATCTCCTTTCACTCCTTTGTTGAAGGCGCTGCGCTTGGCTCAGACTGTGTGAACACAAATGAATGGTTAGTGCTCCTCGTGTGTTTGCCTCCCCTAGGAGCCTCTCACTCTAGGACAGGTAATTTGCAGGAGGACTCATGAAGGAAGTTTGGGCAAGCACTTTATATAAAGATAGAGATTTGGACAAGTGATTCTGTGCAGCTTGAAGGGGCTTCTTTCAGGTTGTAAGAAAATGATTTGTTCTGAAAACTCCTTTATGATAAAGAGGATGGACAAAGATGGCAGACTGTTTTTTTAACTGCATTTTGAGATTTGTGATAGTAATATTTATCTTGCTTTTTTCTCTAAGCCATGACGGTACTGATTCTCCTCCTGATGCTGATGAGGTTGTTGTCATCCTCAACAACTTCAAAAGCAGAATCATTAAAGTGAAGGTGAGTTTGGTGTACTAAGGCAGCCACTCTTTATAGTTGGTAAAGGGAGCAGCATGCTGTTATTTGGTAGCTATCGTGTAAAAATATGTATCTTGACACCAGCCCCAGACTCCCTTTGGAATTTACTGTGCAGTTTAGGAATGCTGTTTTAAGGAAAATGTCTTTGTAAATGTTGGTTTGTTGTTTTCTTCACCTGAGAGATTGCACCTTCTGTTAAATGTTCTCATAGATACTGTGTTGCTTATGTAGCCACAATTCATAAAATTATTGATGATTTTATTCCGAGTATTGGGGGAAGTGCCAATAAAATCTCATTAACAACAATAAAATGGTAGTTCTACTTAATTTCTTCTCACTTCCACTTTCTGTTGTCAGAATTTTGAAGTTCTTAGAGCCTTAAATTCAAGTAAAATGTATTATAGGTAGATAATCATCTCACACACACTGAAGTCTAACATAAGCCATGCATGGTTGAGCAGAAAAACAGTCAGCGTGCTGAAGGGAAGATTCCACCCGAGCTTGTACTAGCAAATCCTGAAGAAAGGCCTTGACATGAAACTCCTCCTTCGTGACAGTTAAAGTTCATGTGGGCCATCCTCTTTCTCTAGAACTAGCTGTCAGCTTGGTGACTTGTGCTTCTGGTTTTACTCAGATGTTATTTCCTACATCATTGAATTTGAGGTTCTTTGCTCATTTTACAGGCTGAAAATGGTTACTGTTTAATTATAAGAGGTTGCTGCCTCATTTTAATATGAGTTAGAAAATGAAATATCCTGATGAAGATACTTCTATTAGCTACTTCTAGACTGTGGGAGGGGTGGTGCCTGCTTGTGGGAGAATCGATGGATAATTCCCTGTTGTTGACAGTACTCACAGTGTACATCCAGTGAAAGTCATATTTAAGCCTATTAGTCTTACTAGGAGGACTAAGATTTATTACATGTAATTGCAGGTTCAGAAGAAGGCAGACATGGTGAACGAGGACTTACTGAGTGATGAAGCAAATGAGAATGAATCTGGATTTTGGGACTCCTTCAAATGGTAAATTGGCATTATAAAAAAGTTATGTTTTAAGGAAAAACTGAGATATAAGTGCCATTCATTCCGCCTGCGGAGTATAGTGATTCTGTCTGGGTATTTCACCTTCTGCTTCATGCAGCCCAATCCTGTACTTATATTTGAAGTAGATGAGTGTTTTGTGCTTGATAACTAAAATAGGTTAATGTCTCCTCATGGTGAAGTTACTTCTGTTTCATACTTCCTCACTCTCATTGGGTTGTGCTTGCTCTTTGGAGAGTTGACTGAGTATTGCTTAGTTTACTTCCCATTGTACAAATTGCATTTTGTGGAACAGCCTGTGTTCAGGCTCTTCCGAAAGCAACAGGCTGTCTTGGAATGAGTGTCCTTCTTGTTATCCTGTGGGGTGGCTTTACCGGCCTTGTGCTCTCTCTCAGTGTACAAGGGTACTCTGGCCTGCTCCCCCTCTGGACAAGGAATGGGAATGGGAAAGCACCATTTCTTTCCTCTCTCCTAAAGGCTGTGTATCTGTATCTGCATCTCAAGTTGTCTTTATTTTATTTATTTTTTTTACCTTATAGGGGCTTTACAGGACAGAAGACTGAGGACGTAAAACAAGATAAAGATGACATAATTAATATTTTCTCTGTTGCATCTGGTCATCTCTATGAAAGATTTCTTCGGTTAGTCTTTATTATTTTGATGTATGTGAATGGGTTTTTCACAGTATTCTTATTTAGAGAGAAAATGTTTTGTGGGATTCTGCTCATTGTGCTTCTGTGTATTTGAAGCACTCTGAGGATTGTGAATAGGTTGCTGTATAGGATTGTTTTTGTTTTGATCCAGCCAACTCCATGAAGTTGAGCTATGTAATGAATGCCTCTATGTGGTTATTAGTGTCACTGTACACGTATTATAGACAGTTGTTGCCACCAAGCATCACTTAAACCAGAAATCAGGAGATTGATGTAGAAAATAGGAGAACAGGACCGTGGAACACTTCACTGTCTTCTAAAGATTCATAGGATTTAGAGCCAGGAGAGGTCTCAGAACACCTCTGTATTATAAACAAACTGAGACCCAGAGTGTGAAGGGACTGGCCTGAGGTCACACAGCTAGAGCCAGGAGAGGCCACAGGCTTGGTTGCCAGAGGGGAAGGCATTCAGAGTGCCTTGTCACAGTGTCTGCAAGGCTCAGCTCTGAAGACATACCTTGGCCTGAGAGTCATTTTCCTCATTGCCAGGGTTCTTTTTACTTTTAGTTTCTCACTACAAATCTTGTATAGAAAATAATAAAAGCATCATTTTAGTTCTGTTTCACAGAAATAGTTTGACCTAAAATAGTGATGATAGTAACAACTGAATTTTATTAAATTCCTTGACTCAAAATGTGTTTGCAAAGTAGGGAATCCTGAACCTGGACCCATGTGCCTCTCCCTGCCTCTCCTCCCTCGTGGGCTGTGGGAGGCCGTGCACTTACACGGTCTGTCCTCAGTGCTGGTAGTCAGTGACCACAACCTCCATTGTTCATCTGCACCATACTTAATATATCAGTTCATGAAGTAATTTATTTAAAGTGTAACAATTAAAACATTTGCGTCTTTCAGTTAGGTATATTTTTATAGGTGAGAAACAACCCTTTTCTCCTATTCAGTTATAACTTTATAAGTATAAATGCAGTTTTCCATTTTTCATTACTAAGGGTCTTTCTTTGCCTAATTGAGCCATCAGTTATCTCTGCCATGAGGAACGTTTAGCTGTCTCATGATTGACTGTGCTTAATGTTGTTGAGGTTAAAAATCATTGGAAAATTATTATTATTTGTTTTTGTTTGGCAGCATAATGATGCTATCAGTGCTGAAGAATACCAAGACTCCTGTAAAATTCTGGTTCTTGAAGAATTATTTGTCCCCCACATTTAAGGTCTGTTTCACAGAGGAAAAGGAAAACATTCTTATTAAGGAGATATTTACAGTATAATATATATTTTTTGCTACTTTTATCTGTATACTTCAAAAAATTTCCCTTTTATTAGGGTACCCTAATTTAGTTGCATATTTCCGTGTTGATTTTCTTCCAAATTGGTCTATTTCGGGGAAGAGTTATAAAACCGAACACAAAATTGTGACATGTTTGAAGCTTGGTAATATGGGAAGAGAGTCTATATCTTTGTTAGAAGCAATGTATTAATGAAATAATGTTCCCTTGCTCTGAAACATACATCTCACTTTAGAAAGCATAGTGATGGTTTACACTGAGGAGAGTGACTAGTTTTATTATGGAACACTACCAGACGGTGTATGGAAGTGATGCTTCATCTGTGCAAAACAAAAAACATGCTTGGAAAGTTTTCTACTATATTTATATCAGTCAGTATTTGTCATCTAAATTGATTTATTTGCGTCTCTCTCTTTTTTTTCCCTGTGGAATTGACTAAATAACTTTTAATGTATTCAGTAACATCTCTCCTAAATAAGTAATTCACTTCTGATCCCCTGAAGGTACTTGTATTTAGAATCTGAAAGGCTTATTCATTAATGGCAGCAAGTTTGTCCAGAGTTTTGGCTTTGCCCAGTTATTCCCTGAGTTAGACCTATTTTTGAGAAAGACTTATGATCAAGCTCAAAAAATGTTTTATTAAATTCAAGTTTAGAAACATGGACTTAAAGTTCATTTGCTTTAAAAAAAAAAATGAAAACACAGATATAAATCTAAAACCCTTCAGTTAAAGATTTGTCATTTCTTGTGGTGACCAGAAGTCATAAAGAAATGGGGATTTGACAAAGGTTTATATGTATTTTATGTAGCCACAAGTGAGTCAGGGCCAAATTCTTTGTTAGACCACTGATTTGGTAAATGTCTTTTGCTTTTGCCATAAACATGGTGGTTGACTTACATTATGAAGTCAGTTTTCTCAATCAGGATAAATGATTCTTTGTTGTTCCCTGTTTCTAAAAATAGGAGTTTATACCTTACATGGCAAACAAATACAATTTTCAGTATGAGCTTGTTCAGTACAAATGGCCCCGGTGGCTTCATCAACAGACTGAAAAACAACGCATTATCTGGGGTTACAAGATCCTCTTCCTGGATGTACTTTTCCCTCTGGTTGTTGACAAATTCCTGTTTGTGGATGCTGATCAGGTAAGCTCTTAAAGGCCAGGTTTTAACAGTTTGTATGAAAGGCAACAGACTTCTTTTTCCTTTTTAAATGCTATTTTTCCAGTATTGGAAAAGTTCATACTTATTTTACAGTTTTTGGAAGAGAAAGAAAGTTATCACCCAGATGTAATCACTTTGAATTTGCATTTAGTGTATCTCCATTTCATCCTTTTCTATGTCTTTTTAATGTACTTGTGATAACATCATATACATGTGCAGTTTTGTATCTTACTTAATCCATTAAACACAAAAACTAAAAGTTAGAAAATTAAGGTTTAACAGTGCTTGCCATCATCTCCTATAATCTGCCCCCAAGATAGAAGTTAGCATGGGTGAGAGATGAAGCTCAAATGGATGCTTGGCCTTGATTATAGGGAATGCTGCAGATATTCTTCCAGCTATCAGGATTTGACTTAATTCCAGGGAACGCATTGTGCTTATAGAGCATACCAACTCAAACAGCATAAATGCACTTCTGTTCTACAGCCTTCCGCTTCATCCTGAGCTGACTGAAACCTGAGTCATTCACCTGAATGAGACTGATATAAGGTGTGCAGAAGTCATTTGCACAAAGCCTTCACCTGCCTCTTTGGAATTCCTTGCCTCAGCTGGCTCAACCTGAAGCATGCTTACCTGATTCTAATATAGTCACATCTAATCCTCGTTGAACACTTATGATAGGCAAGGCATTATTCTGTATTTGTTTATATGTTAATTTATATAATCCTTCCAACAACTCTCTGAGATGGGTGCTATCATTATCTCCATTTTACAGATGAAGAAACTGAGGCATAGAGAGGCTAAACAACTTAAATTTGTTTTATTTCTTTTTTTTTTTGTCTTTTTTCGTGACCAGTAATGGGATCGCAACCCTCGGTGTCGCGCCCTTATCGCGACCGGCAACGGGCTCGCAACCCTCGGTGTCGCGCCCACACCTCGCTCAACCAGTGAGTGGACCGGTCTCTATATGGGATCCGAACCCTCGGCGAGAGCGCCTCCGCGCTCCCAAGTGCCGCACTCTACCGAGTGCGCCACCGGGCCGGCCCAAATTTGTTTTATTTCTACTCCTTTTGAATATTTAGGATACTGTGTGCCATGCACTAGGCTGAGGATCTTGCATGTTAGTGAAGGCACTGAGCTAATTAGTGGAGGAATCCAGGCTCACAGGGTGCCTACTGCTGGAGCCTGTGCCAGTACCACTGAGCTGCCTTCCATGCTGCTGAAAGTAGGAAACTCTGTATTTTAAGGAAACTGCATTAGCACTGTCTGCAGGATTACTTAGCAAGTGACTTCTCATGTTCTTTTCTGCAGATTGTTCGAACAGATCTGAAAGAGTTAAGAGATTTCAATTTGGACGGTGCCCCTTATGGTTATACTCCTTTCTGTGACAGCCGAAGAGAAATGGATGGCTACAGGTTCTGGAAGTCAGGTTACTGGGCCAGTCATTTAGCGGGGCGAAAGTATCATATCAGGTACTGAAAAAGGAGTATTCCTAACGCTGTTGTATGCTTTTCTGTAAAATTTATTTTGTACATTTAAAATTCTGACTAGGTAATACATTAATATGGTACAAAAATAAAAATTATAAAAAATATACAGTGGAAAAAAAATTTCCTAATCCTGCCTCTCCCTTCTACCCAGTTCCCTCCCTCACAACAGATAATCCCCCATTTATTTACTGTCTGTTCTTCCAAAGAATCTTAACTCTTACATAAAGAGCTATGAATATGTATTCTTCTTTACACAAAATATGTCACCCTATTTACACTGTCTTGTAACTTGCTTTTTTTACTTAATATCTTACTTATAGATCTAATATCAATATATAGAGGGATCTTATTTCTTTTTACAGCTGTATATTATTCCAGTGTATGAGTGTTATTTATAATCTCTTCCTATGGCATATAATGTTGCAGTGAATAATCTATTAAATAAATTATTTTGCGTATTTCAAGTATGTTTGTAGGATAAATTCCTAGAAGTAGACTTTTTAGGTCATTCCAGTGTATGAGTGTTATTTATAATCTCTTCCTATGGCATATAATGTTGCAGTGAATAATCTATTAAATACATTATTTTGCGTATTTCAAGTATGTTTGTAGGATAAATTCCTAGAAGTAGACTTTTTAGGTCAAACAGTGTATGCATTTGTTGCATTTCTAATGAACACTCTGTTATCTTCTCTGGGAGAAGTGTGATTTGGAAGATTTGGTGGGTAGGGGGACCTGTAGGAATTGGCACATACAAAGATAAATGTTGGGTATGGTGATTTCAGTTTCATACCTTATGTTCCTCGTCCAAAAGAGCTACAGTGCTGTGGATTTTCCCCTGTAACATTGCAGACACTACAAGGATATCTTTGATTAATGTTTATTTATTGATTACTGTAGGTTTTACTACCAAATCTGCTACATTTGCTAGAAATATTTTGTCAGATTATTTCCTTTGGAAGGCAATTTAAATAAGGAAAAGTGATAGAAGTGAGCTAGTGGTGGCAGAGTATGGATTTTGCAATAACTTCCTTAGACATCTTTGAAGTAGCACATACTGATTTTGACTCTATTGAAGGACTGTAGCTTACCTTTTCTGCTTTTCTTTTTTTTTTAAATTAAAGATTACCAGTAAGGAGATCTTAACCCTTGGATTGGTGTTGTCAGCACCACACTCAGCCATTGAGCTAACCGGCCATCTCTATATAGGATCTAAACCCGTGGCCTTGGTGTTATCAGCACTGCGTTCTCCCGAGTGAGCCACGGGCCGGCCCTTGTACCTTACCTTTTCAAAGAGAAACCAGAATATTTGGCTAGTGACCTGTTCCATTATTCAGTGGGGTTAGTTTTTCTGCAATAATGCATGGTTGCTTGTAACAAATGGGTCTTCTCTATTCAGTGCACTGTATGTTGTGGATCTGAAGAAGTTTAGGAAAATAGCTGCTGGTGACAGACTCAGAGGACAGTACCAAGGTCTGAGTCAGGATCCTAACAGCCTTTCAAATCTTGATCAAGTAAGTGGCCTTTTTTTATGGTTAACACTTTCCACAACAAATATACAATGTTGTGTCAGAAAATGCAGTATGACTTGTGTCTCATTTCTCTCCTCTCTCAGGACAGTGTCTTGTTTCTTCATGGTAAGGGGTATGGGTTTTTATCTGATCTCAAAAGGACGCATATCAGTAGTGAAAAATGTCACAGACCTGATCTTGGTTGGGGAGAGAGAGATGGAAGGAGGGTGCTGCCTCTCTGAATCTTATCTTTTTATTTATACTCAAGCTAATCTAATAGATTTATTTCTCTTCCGGCTAGGGTCTATTTGTTTTTCTGCTTTGGGAACTAAATACCTCAGGATTCACAATATAGAATATAGTATCAGGGCTGCCCAGTTAGTGCAATTGATTAGAGTGTGGTGTTATAACATGGTGTTATAACAAGGTCAAGGATCCGGATTCCTGTACCAGCCGGCTGCCCCTCCCCCACCCCCAAAAGAATATAGTATCACAAATTCTCTTTTTTCTTTTTCTTTTTTTTAAAAAGGGGGGGCGGTAAGGGGATCTTAACCCTCGACTTGGTGTTGTCAGCACCACGCCCAGCCAGTGAGCGAACCGGCCATCCCTATATGGGATCCGAACCCGTGGCCTTGGTGTTATCAGCACCGCACTCTACCGAGTGAGCCACAGGCCGGCCCACAAATTCTCTTTTTTCTTTTTCTTTTTTTTAAAAAGGGGGGGCGGTAAGGGGATCTTAACCCTCGACTTGGTGTTGTCAGCACCACGCCCAGCCAGTGAGCGAACCGGCCATCCCTATATGGGATCCGAACCCGTGGCCTTGGTGTTATCAGCACCGCACTCTACCGAGTGAGCCACAGGCCGGCCCACAAATTCTCTTTTTTCTATGTCAGAAACCATGGTGTGTATCAAGAAGGTTAGCTCTTTATTAATGCTAAGCATTTTTCAGAGGTGAGATTGTAGTTTGTGTTTTAGACACATAGTTTCACATATTCTAAGCATTTTGTTTTGCTTAAGTCTATCTTAAAAATTTAAAAACTTTATTATGATACATAGCATCCATAAAGAAAAGTACACAAAAAAATATACAAATACACACATACTCATATACATCAAGCAATTTTACAAAGTAAATGCCCATATGCCACAACTCAGTTCAAGAAGTAGAACATTACTAGCATTCCAGAAGCCACCCTTCATCCCTAACAAAAATATCTAGCATCCTGACTTTTATGGTAATCACTTCATTTGCTTTTCTTTATAGATTTACTATGTAATCATGTATGCTTAAACACTATTGTTTAATTTTGCCCATATTTTACTCCTCTATCTCAATGGAATCATGAAAAATGTACTCTTTCCAATCTAACTTTTTTGCTCAGCTTTGTGTGATTCACCTATGTTGTATCTAGTGGTGTTTTATTTACCCATCCTACATTTGAGTTGTTTTCAGTTTTTGACATCCATAGATAATGCTACTGTGAACATTCTTTTATATGTACACATATTTCAGTTGTGTATATAACTAAAAGTGGAACTGCTGGGTCATCAGATATATGTTTCTTTGCCTTTACTAGATAATTCCGAACAGTTTTTCAATGTAGTTCTAATTTACACTACCACCATCAGTTTAAAAGTTCCCATTGCTCCACATTTTGACCAGTACTTATGGTCCATCAGTGTTAATTTGGTAGGTGTGAACTGGTATCTCATTGTGGCTTTCAGTTGCTGAGTTTAACCTATTTACATATAATGTAATTTAATTTAATTTAATGAGGCTGAATTTACATATGCCATTTCCTATTTTCTAAATGTGGTATATATATCTTTTGTATTCCTCAGTTCCTACATTACTGCCTCCTTTTGTGTTAAAGAGACATTTCTAGTGAATCATTTTAATTCTCTTGTTCTTTTACTATATGATTTTTTAGTTTCTTTGTGTTTGTCCTGAGGATTACCATTAATGCCTTAATTTATGACAATCTAGTTTGAACCAGTACAACTTAATTTCAATAGTATATGAAAACTAGCTCCATTTCCCTCCTTTATACTGTTATCATACAATTTACATCTTTATACATTGTATGCCTACCAGCACAAATTTAAAATTACTTTTTTCAGTTGTCTTTTAAATCCTATAGGAAAAAAAATGAGTTCTAAACAAAAAATACATTGATACTGTCTTTTATATTTACCCATGTTGCTTTTTATTTCTTTATGTAGATTTGAGTTACTGTCAAGTGTCCTGTCATTTCAGGCTGAAGGACTCCCTTTAGTACTTCTGACAGGGTGGCTCTGCTAGCTACAAACTCTCAGAATGTGTAAATTCTCTTTCATTTTTGATAAATAGTTTTGCTGGATATGGAATTCTTGCTTGATAATTTTTTCTTTCAGCAGCTGAATATTTTGTCCCATAGCTTCTGGTTTTGATGGGAAATTAGTTGTTAATCTTATTGAGGATCCCTTGTATGTGACAAATTGCACATCTAGTGTTGGTTTCAAGACTCCTCTCTTTTAACATTTTAAATATGATATGTTTAGGTGTGTGTCTTTCAGTTTATCTTACTTGGAGTTCATTGTACTTCTTAGATGTGTGTAGATTAATGGTTTTCATTAAATTTGGGAAATTTTCATTATTTCTTTGAATATTCTTTTAGCTTCCCTCCCTTCCACATCTCAGGACTCCCATTGTTTGTATGCTGGTACATTTGATGGAGTCCCACTGGTCTCTGAGTCTCTGTTTATTTTTCTTCATTCTTTTTACTTTCTGCTCTTTATGCAGGATAATCTCAATTGACCAGTTTTCAAACTTGGTGATTTTTTTTCTGCCTACTCAAATCTATGGTTAAACCTGCCCCTCTAGTGAATTTTTCATTTCAGTTATTGTATTTTTCAATTCCAAATTTTGTATTTGCTTCCTTTTTATAATTTGCCTCTTTATTAATATTGTTCTCTGTTGTAGTTTTATTTTGCATTTCTACAAAATAATTTTGAGTACCATTTTGTATGTTTATGGCCATTTAAATATTCTCTTTTGTGGAGTACTTGTTTTAAGTATTTGGATTCTTTGGGTTTTTTCTTCTTAATTTAAAGGCACTCTTTATATATATTGGTAGTAGCCTTTGTTAGTTATATATGTTGCACAATTTTTTACTTTGACTCCATAAATGGTTCTTTTGTAGTCCAGTTGGTTGGTGTTTTTCTTCATGGTTAATGCTTTTTGAGCCCTACTGAGGTCATAAAGATGCTTTTTTTAATGAGCTTTATTATTTTGCCTTTCACATTCAGGTCAATATTCCAATAGGAATTTGTTTCACTTTCATTTTTGTATGTGGATATACAATTATTTCAGCATGATTTTTTAAACATCTTTGTTAGAAATGAGCCATGCATGCATGGCTCATTTCTGGGCTCTCTATTTTATTCCATTTTTCTACTTGTCTATTTTCAAGCCCATACAGGTGACATAGACTATACTTTGTCCTTTGTTTTCCCATGTATATTTTAGAATCAGCTTATCAAGTCCAGGAAGAAAAAAAAAAAAAACTCTTCCTAGGATTTTATATTTGGGTCATGTTAAATTTCTTTCAATAATATAGATAGTTTTCTTTGTAGAGAACTTGTATATCTTTGCTAGAGTTATTTTTAAAACATTTGTTTCTGTTGCTTGTATGTACAATTGAAATTGATTTTTGTTTGTTGTATTCAACTGCCTTGTTAATGAACTCACTTATTCTAATAATTTATATATATTTTTGGATTTTCTCTATATATAATCATATCATGTAAAATAATGACAGTTTTACCTTTTCCTTTCCATCTTAGGTTTTAAAAAATTTATTTTTCTTGCTTTCTGTATTTGCTAGAACTTCCATATTGCTGAGTAGAAAAATTGATAATGGACATCCTTGACTCAAAGGGAAAGTTTTCAGCATTTTACTAAGTATAATGGTTGCTGTAGACTTTTGTAGACACCTCTCATTCAGATTAAGGAATTCCTTTTATTCCTAGTTTGTTATTGTGTTGAATTTTTACATGTTTTTGACATCTGCAGAGATAATTTTTCTCTTTTATACTGTAAATATAGTGAATAATATACCTAAATAAAATTCCTGAATGATATAATACATGTCTTATTTCAACTTGGTCATGTATGTCCTTTTTATATATTACGAGATTCTTTGTGTTAGTATTTGTTTAAGATATTTTATGTTTTTGTGTGACACTGGCATGTAATATCTGCATCAGGTTTTGATATTGAGGTTATGTAGACTTCATAAAAATAAGATAAGTTTTGTTCTTTTTCATTTATCTGTGATTGGTTTGTGTAAAATTGGCTTATTTTTTAAATGTTGGGTATAACTCACTAGTGAATGCTGGAATCTTCTTTGTGTTTAAATTATGAATCTAATTTTTTTAATAGTTATATGCTTATTGAAATTTTCTTTCACTTCTTTTTAAATGTTGGGTATAACTCACTAGTGAATGCTGGAATCTTCTTTTTGTTTAAATTATGAATCTAATTTTTTTAATAGTTATATGCTTATTGAAATTTTCTTTCACTTTTTTAATCAGTATTCTTAAGTTATATCTATCTTTTCTAACATATTCAATTGCTTATATCTTTTCCTTATCTTTTTTATTGAAATATAATTTCTGTTCAGTGATATGCTGAGATCTTGTGTACTGTTTTGGAAAATGCATATTGAGAGCCAGAATGATTCCATCACACTAGTTATCTTTTTAAGGGCTGCAGGATCTGTTATTTTTGTTTTTTAAATTTCTGACATCACTTATTTATGCTTTCTGTTTTTTCCCTTGATCAGCTCACCAGGAATTAATCAGTTGTATTAGTCTTTTCAAAGAATCAGCTTTTAATGTTGTTAGTCTTCTCTACATCTGTTTCTTTTTATTTCACCAATTTCTGTTCTTTATTATTTCTTTACTTCTGGTTTTTTTTTTTTTTTTTCTTTTTTTCCTTTTTGTCTTTTTTTTGTGACCGG